GATCTTGAGTTTTATGAAGTTGAGCCCCACATCAGGCTCCATGCTGAGCGTGGAGCCTGCTTGGGATTCTCTCCCTCTCTCTCTCCCTCTCCCTCTCCCCCTCTCCCTCTCCCTCCCTCCCTCTCCCTCTCCCTTCCTCCCTCTCCCTCTCCCTTCCTCCCTCTCCCTCTCATATATATGTTTATATATGTATCTCCTGTTNCCTCCCTCTCTCTCCCTCTCCCTCCCTCCCTCTCTCTCTCTCTGCCCCTCCCCTGCTTGCTCTCTCTCTGTCTCTCAAAATAAATATTTAAAAGCTATATATTTTAAAGTATCCAAAGAAACACAATCATTATATTAAAAATTAGGAGATACCAATTGTTAACATGTTTGTTATACATCCAGACTTTTTCTGTGCCTGTAAATATGTATATAGTATATGTTTTACATGGATATGAATCACTGTACCATTTGTTTTTTACAAAAATAGAATTATGCATACTGTTTGGTAACCAGCTTTCCTTGCCATTTGACAGAATATTCTTCATTTGACCATATCTTTAGTTTTTTTTAAGTTTTATTTTTTTTTTTTAATGGGTATTTATTTTGAGAGAGGGAAAGAAACAGAGCGTGAGTCAGGGAGGGGCAGAGAGAGACGAAGACACAGAATCCAAAGCAGGCTCCAGGCTCCGAGCTGTCAGCACAGACCCGATTGAACTCAAGAGCCTTGAGATCATGACCTGAGCTGAAGTCAGACACTCAACTCACTGAGCCACCCAGGTACCCCATGACCCTACTTTTAAATAAGAACAAAGAAAATTGCAGAATTTCCCTTCTACCTCTTTTAGTGAGAAACCACCTTTACCATTACCAAGTTTGTTTTTTAAATAAATAAGCTTCTGTTCCATCATGCTAAAGCTTTATTTCTTAATACATCATTATTAATGTGGCTGAAGAATAGCTCTCCCTGTATTACATGGAAATGGAATGCAACATTTTTAAACTCTATGATGTGGAACATGTTGCAGAAAGATCTGGATCTGTTTTGGGGCCTTTAAGGTGTAATGAGGAGCAAGAAAACCATACAGAACATCTCACTGCAAGGCAGAGTCAGGAGACAAAGCACTGAGATTCTGAGTGAGGCAGCATTCTGGGCAAGGGCTGGGGAGATTTCCTGCAAGGGCTGAATCAGGTGGGGTTTGTAGGGTGGCTCAAGTTGAGCAGAGAAAGGGAAGTTCAAGGGAGAGGGAGAGGGAGAGAAGACAGAAAACTGATCAGAGAGAAAACACTGGAAAAGGCATGAAGGTAGAAGAATACGAGCTATAATTTTTCCACCTATGAAATTGACACAGTTACGCATCCGACTTCAGCTCAGGTCATAATCTTCCAGTCCATGAGGTTGAGCCCCTACATCGGGCTCTGTGCTGACAGCTCGGAGACTGGATTCTGCTTCAGATTCTGTGTCTCCCTCTCTCTTGTCCCCTCCCCCGCTTAAATTCTGTCTCTCTCTCTCTCTCTCTCTCTGAAAAATAAATAAACATTAATAAATAAAAGGAATTGACAAACATTTTTTTACTTGGTGCTGTTCATCAAGTGAGATGAACCCCATCACTATTCCCTGATTGGAGTGTAAATCGGGTATGAGTTTTATTTCTGGAAAGCAGTTTTGGGTGCATGCATTGATAGCCTTAGGATGCTCATACTTTTGGGCCTAATAATCTCATTACTGGAGACATGAGTAAAGATGTAGCCAAACATATATATGCAAAGGGTCTGTATCAAGAGAATTTGGGAAAACCCTAAATGGTCAACAGTTTATAAAAAATCTATAATGGTATACAAGTTCCAAATTTTGTACACTGAACTGATACTAGTCTTTCTTTTCATTTAATCTGAGGTCAGTTTTATAGGATGGATGAAGTTTGGGAAACGGAGCAGTCCAGCTTGTCTGAAGCACAGGTTATATTTCAGGAAGTCATGGGAAATAAGGGGCACCTGGGTGGCTCAGTTGGTTAAGTGTCCCACTTCGGCTCAGGTCATGATCTCATCATAGTTTGCGAGTTCGAGCCCCGTGTAGGGCTCTGTGCTGACAGCTCAGAGCCTAGAGCCTGCTTCAGATTCTGTCTCCCTCTCTCTCTGCTCCCCTCCCCTGCTGGTGCTTCTCTCTCTCTCTCAAAAATAAATAAACATTAAACAGAATTTTTTAAAAAGGAAATAAGACAGGAATTGTAGCATGGAGAGTTTCCAGTGGAGGCTGGGGCATGGTCACTGGTTGGACTCAGTGAAAAAGTCTGCAAGGACACCAGGAAGCTGCAAATATAAACAGGGGAGGCAGAGTCCTTCTGGTGCATGGGGTTGGGGGGGATTTAAGTACTGTCTTGGGTGCCCTGAGTTGGAGATGTCATCTAGTCATCAAGAGGGGCTTTCCAGTGGTCATTCCTGGGGTGCAAAGGAGCAGACAAGGCTACCCTTTCAGTTATTTATTAATGCATTTACTCATTCGATAAATACTGCTTAATTAAGCATTTGCTGTATGCTAAGGGCTGTGCTGGGCCACCAGATGCAAAAAGAAGGGGGCTTCCATTCCTGGGGGAGCACCCATGGGGGGAGTGTTGGGAGTGGAGGAGAGGACCAAAGGGAGGGAGTGTGGAAGGGGAGAGCTTAGGGCCAAGAACAGTACAGGAGCACCTCCCTATGACTCTCAAGGACTCCGCAGGGAGACAGGCAGGGATCTCAGCATGTCAGGTGACAGGGGAAAGGATGCAGGGAACATGGGGAGTTTGGGGCCGCGTGGTCAGAAGAAACCTTCAGGGTGGATGCAGGCTGCTGTGCAGTATACAGCATCCAAGGGGGCAAAGGAGCCCTGGGCTTCGTTCCAGAGGCAGCCATATCTAAGGGGGAGCTGGGTGAGGGGGGCATTAGAAGCAGCAGGAGGGGTCCAGGTGATCTTCAAAGTCAAGTGGGGACCCGCTTGTTCATGTGATACGTTGTGTTGGTTATCACAGAAATAAAACACCACTGGAGAAAGTTTGGAAAACAGAAACATAATCCTACCGAATTAAGAGAATAGCTATTACTATTCTTGTATGTTTCCTTCCGTAGTAATAGTAACACAGAGCTTTCACGTAGTTCTGATATAGAGTATGTACACATTTTACGTCTTGCATTCTTTGAACATTACAGCACAAACGTTCTCTGGGTTGCTACACAGCCTTCATAGTTACTTAAATAATGTTCCGTCCAGTTGTACAATGATTTATTTCGCGAGTCCTTTCACTCTGACATTTGTTTAAAAGACAGATAATAAGAATAAGACTAATTAAAATTTTTCATACATGTTCTAGATTATCTCCTTCCACTGGATTCCTAGAAGTTATGTTAATAGGTCAAAGATCATGAGCATAATCTTAATGGTTCTTGTTATCATTTGTATTTGCCACCAAACTGCTCCTTACCAACAATCACCAAAGTGCAACCCTTTTTTCCCAGTTCTTTACTTTCCTAAATCAGGAAGTCCAGGGCTCACGGTAGTAAAGGTCATTATAACCTCCCAGAAGTTTCCAAGCTAGAGATCTCTACTGGAGCCTTAGGCCGTTAAAATTCATGGAGCGCCTGGGTGGCTCAGTCAGTTAAGCATCCGACTTCATCTCAGGTCATGAGCTCGCGGTTGGTGAGTTCGAGCCCCACATCGGGCTCTGCATTGACAGCTCAGAGCCTGGAGCCTGCTTCAGCTTCTATGTCTCTTTCTCTCTCTACCTTTCCCCAGGTCATGATCTGTGTCTCTCTGTCTCTCAAAAATGAATAAACATTAAAAAAAAGAGAAGAGTTAAAACCCCTAGTCAGAAGGGGCCAGGAGACCCAGTGCGGCTGCAGAATATAAGTCACTTAGATTGCCGTGTTGTGTGAACACCACTTCCATCTGCACTGTAAGGGACTTCTCTACCCCTTCCTCCCCCTCCTAACGTGCTTCCTAGCATTGAAATGAGGCTAAAGATGACTGATGGAAGAATGTTGCCCTTCCTCTGGGCTCGGGCTGTGCCCTCCTTGGTGAGGCTCAGCTCAGAAACCTCCTGTTCATCCAGCCCCCTGCATACACCCCAGGCTGTTGGCTCCACTTCAAAGGCAGCCCTGTGGGTGAATAAAACACAGATAAAGGCGAAGCGATGATAAGGTGGCCGTAAATCTGAAAAGTACATTTTCTGGCATTATCAGTTATCACTCCGTTTCAAATATGCCTATGGAGTGGATATTCCAGTTTTCAGTGTGTGTGTGTGTGTGTTTAAAGGCCTTTTTAAAAATTGTGCAATCCTTTATACCCTAATGTGCTGTGTTTGGCATTAAAGAACTGTCAAGGCTGACTTGTAACTTGGAAGGGGTAAGGGTTGAGGTGCAGGCGAGTATGGGCTGGTTTACTCATGGGACAGAGGCTGACTCCCGCGGGTGACCTGCCCACACAGAGAGCCTTGCACCTCAGAGACCAGATTCTGGCCCACACTCTCACAAATGCACAGCGTGAGACACAGGGAGTCTCAGACAGAAAGGGGAATGGACTGTATAAAATCCTCCCACTGCGTCCAGCAAAGCAACCCATCCTTGGCTGTCAAGAACACCACATTTGTTGGGGCGCCTGGGTGGCCCAGTCGACTAAGCATCCGACTGCGGCTCAGGTCATGATCTTGGAGTTCATGGGTTCGAACCCCGCGTGGGGCTCTGTGCTGACAGCTCAGAGCCTGGAGCCTGCTTCAGATTCTGTGTCTCCCTCTCTCTCTGCCCTTCCCCCCACTTGAGTTCTGTCTGTCTCTCTCTCTGCCTCGAAAATAAACATTACAAAACTAAAAAGAGAACACCACATGCGTGAGTATATAAAAATGAGTCTGCTGAAACGCTCCTCTGTAAGATACGCTGTGTTCTACCTACACCAGTGCCGTTGGCACCCAAGCAGGAAAGTAAAGGGCGGAGGAGACGGACGTGTCCGCTCACTCTCCTGCTGACCTGTGGACTGTGTTGCTTTGTCTCTGCAGATATAAGCCGAGGCGAGTCCTGCAAGGAGGATTGCACTTGCTCCTCCTGCTCGCTCCGGCCCCCCACCATAAGTGACTTGCTCAATGATCAGGACTTGCTAGACGTCATCAGGATAAAGCTGGATCCATGTCACCCGACAGTAAAAAACTGGAGGAATTTTGCAAGCAAATGGGGCATGCCCTATGACGAACTGTGTTTCCTCGAGCAGAGGCCTCAGAGTCCCACCTTGGAGTTCTTGTTCCGGAACAGTCAGAGGCCGGTGGGCCAGCTGATGGAGCTCTGCAGGCTCTACCACAGGGCCGACGTGGAGAAAGTCCTGCACAGGTGGGTGGATGAGGAGTGGCCCAAGAGGGGGCGTGGAGACCACCCCAGGAACTTCTAGACCTCTGTTCCTTCCCACTGGCCTCTTTGGACATTGAAACAGCCACGGATGGAGGAGGAGTGTGGACCTGTCCTTTTTTAAGAGTTTAGGACGAGGACACGCAACAGTGGACAGTGGTTTTCCCCAAAGCTGGTGGTTTTCTCTGGAGGGGTAGGTTATGTTTTGGTGGTGGATTTTTGTTTGTTTAGTTTTGCACATCTGTTTCCACTTAACATTTGAATCTGGAATTGGGAAAAAAAATCCTTTGTAGACTCATATAGGGCCCAGGACCAAAGACTACAATCCGAATGGACTCATGCCATGATGAAAATAAAATTATCCTCTCCCTTGAATACCGTGGATGATTGAAATAAGAACTAAGATTGCCAGTGGCCCCAATCGATCATCATCCGTATGATCCTTCATGATGGACGGGACGCCCACAGCCTAGAAGAAAACAAAGTACAGTAAAACCTTGGTTTGCAAGTGTAACTCATGCCAGAAACATGCTTATAATTCAAAGCACTCGTCTAGCAAAGCAAACTTCAAGAACCATTGGCTCGGTTGTGGTCATGTGACATTCAGCATCACGTACTACTCGTATTGCAAGATATCGCTCGTTTATCAAGTTAAAATCTATGAGAAATGTTTGCTCGTCTTGCAGGACACTGCAGATCAAGTTACTCACATTCCAAGGTTTTCCTGCACTTAGGTGAAGGACGTTGGCATTATGGGGCCGTACCTTCAGACCACATGTGCCATCTTTCTTATTCAAATGGTTTTGTAATCCGTGCACTCTCAAAAATGTCACCTGCTCAAGTATTTTTGCAGGAAATACAAAACTAGTATTTTGGGGGAGGGAAGGGGAATAAGAACCTTGGGAAAGCGAGTACACAGAGTGCCCTTTGTTACCCAGGACTTTTTAAAAAGTAACTTAATATGTACTTTCCCATCTTTTGTGAAAGGCTGAGTGTTTTCACCCCTGAGATCAAGCTTGGGTAAGAAATAAATAACTATCACCAGGCCCAACGTTGGAATGTAAGCACTTGTAGTACCTACTGTCCCAGCTGAAAGCAGGGCCACTAGCCAACACTACACGGAGGTTTAGCCAAGAACGGGGAATCTTTCATGCTGGTGCTGGGGCAGGAGATCGGCATTAAAATCCAACTTGGAAAGGATTTTAAACCAAATGAAAAATTGGGTCCAAAGAATATCTCATGTTCTTATGTGATGGTTTTAGGGGGAGGTAAAGTGTGGTTGATAGAAGGGTTTGCTCCCAGAGAGATGGGAGGAAAAAGCCCTTCCCCTCCTCTCCCCTCCCCCCTCCCCTCTTTAGGGCTCCACTGCCTCCAAATGGTGACAGAAAAAAGCAGGTGGTACCTCTGCCCCCACCCCCAGCCATCATTCCCATGGGGGGAGAATGGGAAGGTTCCCCTTATTTCCAGAGACTTCCCCCGCCCCCAATGACACAGGAGAGAGGTGCAGCGGGAAGGAAGGGCAACCTAGGGAAGGGAGGATTAGAATAACAGCACCTCCACCACCCGGCCCCCCTCCCCTGCTGCGCCATCTTTCCTGGTCTTCCCCCAGGTTCCCGGCTCAAAGGATACTCTGCTCTGTTGAAAGCTGAGGCAGATCACACACCACCCTCGGTGCCATGGCAGTAGCTGGGAGAGGTGGGCTTCTAAATTTCCACTCAGTAGGGCCACAGCTGCAAATTTAACAAACAGTTTAAGTTTGGGGCGCCTGGGTGGCTCAGTCGGTTGAGCATCCATTAGCTAAGGTCATGATCTCATGATTCATGAGTTCAAGCCCCGTGTCTGGCTCACTGCTGTCAGCACAGAGCCTGCTTTGGATCCTCTAGCCCCCTCTCTCTCTATCCCTACCCCACTCATTTTCTCTCTCTCTCTCTCTCTCTCACTCACTCAAAAATAAACATTTAAAAAATTTTAAGTTCCTAATATCCGAGATGTTGATTTGGAGAATATGGTGAAAATTTCTCCTGTGAAAACACTGTTACACATGGTGATTAGGTTCTTTAGAACTGTCAGTTCTGTGTTTTACACATTTCTGAATTAAAAGTTTTTTGTAAGCTGGCTTGGGAATGGTCCCTGTTGGCACTGCTTCTGGGCATGAATTCCGATTCCCAACTCAAAATTTCAATCTCAAAACTGACTTTCAACTGAACTTCTCATCATGTCTTGAACATGGCTATTGTTTGTAACTGTCAGCTCAATTTACCTGTGTGTTGGATGAAAAATGTTAATGGGGCGCCTGAGTGGCTCAGTAGGTTAAGCATCCAACTTTGCCTCAGGCTATGATCTTACTTGTGAGTTCGAGCCCCACGTAAGGCTCTGTGCTGACGCTCAGAGCCTGGAGTCTGCTTCTAAGTCTGTCTCCCTCGCTACTCCTTCACCACTAGTGCTCACTCTCTCTCTCTTTCACTGTCTCAAAAATGAATAAGTAAACACTAAAAACAAAAAAAGGGAAAACATTTCGTTTGACAAACATTTATTTAAAAAACGTGAAGACAGAATTTAGGTGATTCAGGTATGGGCGAGGCTGAGTGTGCTCCTGTCAAATTCAGGAATTCCAGGAAAACGGTCCAAGCACAGGGTACCACCCCCTTATCTCTCCTTTAGGCATCATTACTCCCAAAGTTCTGATTGCTAATAATTTCTACCACTGGCTATGAAAGCTTAAAATTCCTATTTATAATTGCATGGGGGAAGTGCCAAGGTGGATGGGATTTTTTTTTTTAAATAGGGGAGTTGATGTAAACGCGTCATTTGAATTTGAAACTACCATAATTTGCACATCCTCGACATCTGTATCAGTTGGCATTTGACCTTATGAAAAGTTTTAATTATTAGAAGTATAGAAATTAGCAGAGAGAAATTATTCAATTATTAGAAGTATGATATTAGCAGAGAAGAATTTAACCAAAAGTTTTTTTAAATTCAAGTTCATTCAGCCCCTAGACTTTAATTAAAGGTAGGATGGCTTTTCTTTTTGTTACATACAGACATATCAAAGAGTAATTCTCAACTGAAATAGAACCACAACTCCATTGCATAATAACCCAAAATAATTTTCAAGTTAATTTTCAGCAAATAAATAGTGGAACAGCATAAATATGCCAAGACTCCACAAAAGAGAGAGTGGAAGGGAAGGAAAGCACTTTCTGATTAATTGATCAACTACCTGTTAAAACACAAGTTCATTAACACCTACGAGGTTTTCTCATTATACTCTTCCTAGGAATCTAGGTTAAGTTGACGGTGTTAGAAACGAAACTGCTTATAATGAGGTCCTTTTGCTACTGGAAAGATGAAATAAGTTCCAGGGAATGGTCTTCTGATAGTGTTACATAACGAGGCTTTATGTTACGGACCAATTTTCTTTGCTTGCAGTAGAAAATCACTGCGTGAGAGAAAGAGATGCAAAGTCACGATAAACACCACACACACTGAGACACACAGACCCAGAGGAAGACTCGCAGAAAAGGAGGCTCACATAGGCACGCTTTCCTTAAAATTTTTAAGATTTAAAATGGTTAGGGCTCCGTTGTGTGCCAGGGTTGCCCACCAATATTTCAGGATACCCCATATGGACAAGTCACCCATTGTGGTGACGCTGAATCACAATTGTTCAATAACATAGGAAATTTGCAATAACAGACAAGATGCTACACACACACGCGCGCACACACACACACACACACACACACACACACACACGTCAGTTTTTCCTGGAGAGTACTTTTTGTGTGGGACTGCCCTCTGCTGGAGCGTAGAATCTGTACACACATCCTTTCTGGTTTGGCTGCTGTCGTCAGAACAGCCTAGAACCAACCTTGTATTCATTATTGGTGGTATGTTAGAACCCTTACACGTAGCCCTGATAAAAGATAGGAAGAGCACAGTTATTTTACAAATTGACATAAGCAGAATGAAGACGGCATTATTGAGGTGAGGGTCCAGTGACCTGAAGGTGTCCATCGTCACATAGCCCTGTCATTCAGGTCCCGAGTGTGACCCGTCTGCTCTAATAACAGTTCCATGGTCTGGGAATTAAGTCAGTCAGACTTTCCCTCCAGGTATATTTAGAGTTAGCTATTTGGGGTATTTGGTGTCTCTCCCTTTTGATTTAGTGACACCCTGTCTTTCATGTTTAGGGAAGTGACAGTGAGAAACAGTGGCTTTTGTGTAAAAAGGCAAAGGGATCCATTTCCCTTCATTATAGCAGACATCGACCACGAGTGCCAGCCTTTCCTCTTCCTTTATAATTTATAGTATAAAAATAGATTCTTCTAAATACAACGTTAATAACTAAGGTCTAGCAGATTTTCTTTCTTAAATCAATAGACGTTTCATTTAGTTTTGACCCAAGATCATCCTCCTTCTAACATTTTCCATTTCTGCCCTTTGTGTTCTAAAAGCTTCCTCTTGGGGTACCTGGGTGGCTCAGTCAGTTAAGCAACTGACTTTGGCTCAGGTCATGATCTCACAGTTTGAGCCCCGCGTTCAGGCTTTGTCCTGACAGCTCAGAGCCTGGAGCCTCCTTCCGATTCTGTATCTCCCTCTCTCTCTGCCCCTCCCCTGCTCACACTCTGTCTCTCTCTCCCTCAAAAATAAACAAACATTAAAAAATACATTTAAAAAAAATAAATACAATAAAATCTTCCTCTCCTTTGGATCCATGTTTCTGCTCTCTGTGTTGCTTATTTTAGAGCTAGTCCCTCATTTCTCAAGTCACATTTCCTCGCTGTGCCCACGGCCTTCTCCCTCCCAGCTGCAGGCTAACATCTGCTTCCTTTCTTTACTGACATGTGCAGAAGCGATTTGTTCAAACATCTTTCGTATTTAACAACACTCTGGGCCTAATAGTGTTAAAACTATTTCCTCCCCTTGTAACCAAAACATGTGTAACTACATTTGCCCCAAGAAGTGAGGAGAAACGTTCACCCAATTTGTTGCATGATTTCCTGCTTGGGAATTCAAACTCCAGTTATAAACCCTGTACACTTACTTGGGTATAAATGGATCAGAGCAAGTCTTGCTTCTCTGGTGTCTAGAGAAGTCTGTGTTTGGGGCCCTTAGGTGGCTCAGTTGGTTGATCTTCTGACTCTTGATTTCAGCTCAGATCATGATCTCATAGTTCGTGGGGTCAAGCCCCGTGTCAGTCTCTGCACTGGCAGGGTGGAGCCTGCTTGGGACCCTCTCTCCCTCTCTGTGCCCCTCCCCACTCACACTGTCTCTGTCTCTCTCAAAATTAGTAAATAAAAACTTAAAAAAAAAAAAAAAAACATTGATAGAGAAGCCGGTGGCCATGGTGCTGTGCCATATGGGCGCCGGCTGGAGCCTTGCGCGGGTGGGGGCCACAGCTGGGGGACTCACCACCCAGACGCCCACAGCAGAGGACAGCCTGTTGTCTGTCCTGATGCTATTCTCTGCT